GGGGAATGTGTATGGAAGTCCGTGGCATCACAAACCTCCCCTGATATAATAGTCTCTCCCCCTCAATACAGTAGCCCGGATGACTACTCTTGTCCTTCTCTAGATGCTTCTGGTCCTCGACCAACTGTGCCAACTCCATGGCCTCCCCCAGGTCGTGTGGTCTCATCACTCTAACAGCTGCCCTGATTTCTGGTTTGAGCCCCTTCATGAAGTTCTCCTCAAGCACGGTCTCAGAAAGACGATCCAACCTGCTAGCTAGGTACTCAAATCGGTCCCGGAACTCTACTACTGTCCCTTCCTGTGTCAGCACAAAGAACTGCTCGTAGAAGTCTCCTCCCCTGCTGGTTCGGAAATGCTCTAGCAGACAATCCTTGAACTCCCTCCAGCTTCGAATGGGTCGTCTCATGTCCCGCCACTGGTATCATGCCAATGCCTTCCCTTCCAAACATAGTCCTGCCGCTGTCAGTTTCTCCTCCTCTGTCAACCTGTTGATAGCAAAATACCGTTCCACTTTGTAGATCCAGCCATGGCCATCCTCGCCCTCAAAGATGGGCATCTTCAATTTCTTCACCTTGGGATCTCCTCCGTACCCTCGGTATCCTCCATAACCTCCCATTCCTTGAAGAGGAAGTGCTCCCCAAGTGTCTCGGTCCTCCCTCCGATGATGGTATCCGAATCCGTCGTCATATTCCCCTCTTCCCCTTTCAACATCAGCACCTCGACACTAAAATTCAGCACCTCGACGCTGAAATTCTTCTCTTCTTCTGCCAAAATCTGCACTTTCGTCGTATTCCCCTCTCCTACCTTTAAATTCCGCACCTCGACACTAAAATTCAGCACCTCGACGCTGGAATTCCTCTCTTCTACCGCTAAAATCAGCACCTCTTCGATCATTTCCCATGCTCATCTCCTCTCTAGAAAGTGGCTCTAGAGGCGGCATGTCGTCCTCTCCCTCAAGGATCTCTACTACCGGATTCCTCCTCCCCCGAAGCGGGTTCGGATTTCCTCCTACGCCATGGTCGCCGATAGTCTCTCTTGCTTCCGACGCCGTCGGATTAGTCTTCATCTCAAGTAATTTCTTCATCATCTCTTCCATGGCCGTGAACTTCCCATCCATCCTTTCATTATTGGCGGTGATTTCAATGAATTTTTCCTCCAAATCTGATTTTAATTGGCCAAATTCTCCTTCTAGGACTTCGATCTTCTTTCCGGCCATTTTTCTTTCTACGAGTCACAGGAATTCTTCCTCCGAATGCCAAAAAACCCGCTGAAATTTCAGGATTTCAGCCGCCGCTAGTCCCAGAACGATGCTCTGATACCAATTTGATATGAAACACTTGAATTCTCAAGTATTCCTAACCCAAACTAGTAAAATTACAGCAGCCAACTGCTGTCCACAGCAGCAAAACAGCATAAATTCAGTGAAAACGCAGCAGGAAATTGGGAAACGAGGAGAAAAACCCAAGATTTCGCTTGTATTTCACTAGAAATCAAAGAAAACAGCAAAGATACAATTTGTTCTTCAATCCGAGAGGAAGAACAACTCTCCAACGATCTCCGGCAACGCCAAGAGCCCAAGCACGCAAACCCTAGATCTCAAATAGAATTCAAATTCAAGATGAGGAGCTAATCCCCCCCAATCTCCTAATTATACAAAATTAATCATAAAGGACAATAATAAACTTCCTAAAACATCCTTTCACATTCAAATTTTCCCTCCTAAGCTCACCCAAAAACCCACGTGGCCCCTCTTGGTTCCGCTCAATCCCCGATCCCCTTCTTGTTTCTCCGCCTGGAGTAACAGTGGACCGGTCCGGGCTGGACCGGTCCAGCAGGCCCCTCCTGGGCCGGCGTAACAGCGTGTTCATAATAATACATTCTTGGGATAGGTGACCTCTTGGGAAGTCACAGAAAAATGTATAAAAACTTAAGTTTTAGCATGGTATAGGTCAAAGCAAGGTTTAAAATTATGTGATTAGTTACTGAGGCAATTTTTATTCCTGAGATAAGGCGTAAACCTCAAGGTTTTCTGAGGCGTAAGCCTCAAAATTCAAAAATTAAGTTAAAATAAAGGTTAAAAGTGATTTTTTATATTATATCCAAATAATATATTAAAGGATTGCATATTAACTTTATATTGAACTATGAAATAACAAATTGACATACATATGAAACAAAAAAAATCACAAGACGTAAAGTGGCAAGTGATAAATTATGTGAAATAGAATTAAAATTCAAATATTACAAGAGCAAAATAACATTAAATATATGAATAGCATAAAAGCATCATATAACACGAAGTTCAACTCCAAATTCATTCTTTCTTAGTCACCCACTCATGCATATTTAATTCCTAAAGAAAGATGAAATAGTTTGCAACAATTTAGAAATCATATGCACTGTCATCACTCGGGGGGGGGGGGGGGGGGTCTTTTTTGACGGGCAAGGCATGCCTCAAGGTAGGCCTTAGCCAAGCTAAGGCACACGCCTCATAAAAAAGCTCGAGGCATAAACCTGGAAACATTCTTCACTGGAAATGTACTAAGGTGGGCCTCAAGACGAACCTCATATTGTGCAATTTTAAACAATGGGTCAAGGTGAATAATAAATTATATTGTATAGCCCAAGGAATTGCAATTGGTATCAGACCATAATATCCTCTATACAATGTGTGGTTTGAGAGCTAAAATAGAACCTGGTGGGCCAGGAGCACCCCAAATCCAAAGAGTGAAGTTCGAAGAGGGCACAAAGTGATCTTTAAGGCTAAAGTCTAGAAAAAGAGTGATTCTTAGTAGGCTTCTAGGATGGTAGACTTCTAGTAGGAAAGAGTATGATAATCAAACAAATCCTACATCAGCAGGGGAGGAAAAGATTCTGGCCATAATAGGAAAGAAAATTTATGGTGTAATAGATGGATTTTTCTCGAGATTTTTATAATTAATTGTGCTCATAATGAAGAACTTCTAGGATAGGTGACCTCCAGAGAAATTACATGAAAGGATAAAACTACAAAGCTCACAATGGTATGGGGTAATATAATGCACAATATAATATGAGGCATTACAATTACTATTAGAACTTGTGGTTCAGTAGCCACAAGTCTCTAATAATCAAACTCCTTTGGCAAATGACATCCTTCCACAAATAGTAGCTCCCATTGCTATTGTCACAGGTCCCCTTTAACAACTACGCCTCTCTACATTAGAAAATTAATTCTCCTCATGTAGCCACAGCTAGTTGACTCTCCTCATCCAATCGCATGTATACATAACCAGGAAGGGAGTTTGATGCTGTTGAGTACATAAAATTGAGCAAAAACAATGAAATATCTCACTAGTGGAGGATAAAACATAAAGGAATTAAAGATATTTGCAAGGAGGAATAAAATAGTAGTAAAATAAGTCTATGTGAAGGAAAATAGGAGATCATTCTAATGAAAACCTTGACTTCAAATCAATAATGCCTTGTGGGCTCCGAAAATTCGGCCCTGACCTCCGCCCGTTGTGCTTTTCTTCGGGGGGAGTTTTAATGGATTTAAGTTCTAGGGTAAATTTTAGAACGCATATGGGTTTATAGATAAGACACTAACCAAATATTTCACCCTCATTTTGCGAGGAATTTATAATCTAAGTTCTGGTTTCCTCTAGGTACAAGCCCCTATAGTTAATTACCCCTCCCGATCATAAGAGAGAACTTTCGATTAAGGCTAGTCATCGATCAAATACGTAGAGATACGTGCATCTGGCATCTATTAGCAGCATGGGTCTGAAATTTGGAAATTGAGGGGTTGATATTTAAAATTATAAATTTCACCATCTTACACTTAAAGCGGATAGTGAGGGAATGGATGATG